TACTTCTACTTTTTTTGGTGCTAGGTACACACTGAAATTTTTACTTAAATAGTAGCATAGAAATAACTATGATTTTTTTTTTGAGCATTTACTTTTGAGACTTAAGGCTTATTTATTCACCTCCAGAAATAGGACCTGATAAAAATTAAGTATCTGTAAAACTGGAGCTAAAGTGGACCTTCTCATTTATCCAGTCCAACCTCTAGAGTTCATCTCCTTTTGGTGGAGAACTTCTGGAAACAGGGAATTCACAATTTCACTGACTTAACCCATTTTGATTAAGTCTTCTTACTTGTTGGAAAGTTTCTTGCTTGTGTTAAATGGTTACATGCTCCTTATAACATTTACTCACTGGTCTGAGCTTTGTGCTTTATAGATAGAAAGCATTCAGTACATGTTAGTCAGTGAGACAAAGGAATGAATGAATACCACTTACTCAAGATTAGAGTTCTTGAGGATGACCTAGAGGATGACCCAGCTTAAAAGCAGCCACTTGCTTCATCTTGGATTTCTCCTCATTGTCAGGAAATCCTATTACTATTTCTGATGTCTGAGCAAATGATTTCTCTGACCATCCAAGACTTCTATGAAATGACTTCTGACCATCTGACTGAAGTTCTTGCAAGGCGTACCTTGGAAAAATCCTGCCAACCTTGCCATAGATATGGAACAGGGAGTAGGGAAGTGGCCAACCACTGGGGTCACTTTTCTTTCATTATTTTTAGGATTTTCAAGGAAGTGGTATGTGTTCTGTTGTCAACTAGAAGTTTTGATATACCTGACTTCCTATTGCTTGCTTATTGTTTTATGTTTTCTTTGGTTTATGACATACAGACTGGTGTAGCCCTTATGAACTTTTTGCAGCTTATATTATTTGTTTCTGTCTTATCCTCCCCACCCTCACTACAGGGATGCTGTTTCATTCATCTTTTAGTGACATGTGTTTAATAGGTGCACAATAAACATTTGTTGAATCTATGTCGTTTCATTATTTGAAAACTCAGCTGTTACACCTCATCTCCCCCTTTCTAGCCATAAAAATTTGATTTTTTCTGAATTGAACATCCTTTTCCTCTTTCCTTCTCTCAGTTTTAAGTTGTTCTTCTCTTCTGGATCATTTCCAAGTTTCCCTTTTTTTTTTTTTTTGGCTGCATCAGATCTTAGTTGCAGCATGCGGGATCTTTCGTTGTTGTACCTGGGCTCTTTGTTGTGGTGCATGGGTTTCTCTCTAGTTGTGGTGTGCAGGTTTTCTCTCTCTAGTTGTGGTGTGCAGGCTCCAGAGCGTGTGGGCTCTGTGGTTGTGGCACATGGGCTCCAGAGTGCATGGACTCTGTAGTTTGTGGCACGTAGGCTCTCTCGCTGAGGCGGGCGAGCTCAGTAGTTGTGGTGCGCGGGCTTAGTTGCCACATGGCATGTGGGATCTTAGTTCCCTAACCAGGGATCAAACCCTCATCTCCTGCATTGTAAGGCAGATTCTTTACCACTGGACAACCAAGGAAGTCCCCATTTCCAAGTTTCTGCTTTAGTTGCGGAGCACAGAAAAAATAATTGAGTAAAACTTTGTGCAGCATTGCTTCAGTTCTTAATATTCTTTTCCATTCTACTCTCAGGTGTTCTTTTAAAAAGTTTCCTCATTTGTAAAATGAGGGTAATGATACATATCTCACAGGATTAATAAAATAACATATGAAAATCACATAGCTCTGTTTCCTAAATTATTTTCATTCAGAATGCTTTCTTCTAATATCTAATTTCTTTTCTTTGTAACTTTTTTCTTAACTAGTTTCTCTATATATTACATGTAACATTAAATTTAAATTTGGTAAGTTGAAATACTTGGTAAAGTGGAATATCCATTTAGGAGAACTATGATTAATCACTTGAAATTGTACTTTATTGAAAACACCTGAAGAGATGCTTTTGTTAGAATAATTTTTTAAAGATAAGATAAATATGTTTCAGAATATCTTATCAAGGTATAATTACAGAAAGTATCATTCTATTTTAAATGGTCTTCATGTTTGAGTTTTTAGTAGGTTTTATGCTGTATTAAAATTGTGTGTTGCAGTCTTGAAAATATGCACAGTGTATAAGCCACACATTGATGTCTGTTGTAACTTTAATTTTGTTTTGTTTTTGTTTTTTTTTTGCTGTACGCGGGCCTCTCACTGCTGTGGCCTCTCCCGTTGCGGAGCGCAGGCTCCGGAAGCGCAGGCTCAGCGGCCATGGCTCACGGGCCCAGCCGCTCCGCGGCATGTGGGATTCCGTGGCACGAACCCGTGTCCCCTGCATCGGCAGGCGGACTCTCAACCGCTGTGCCACCAGGGAAGCCCCTAATTTTGTTTTTATATCGTAGAGTTATTTTCTTTTTATCAACTCAAGAGCCCTCTTATTAGTGGTTGAAAATGAGAATTTTTGGAATCATAATTCAATAGCTAGAAATTTAGTTCTTTATATAATAGGATAAGTAATACAAATTCAGGGATTGACTTTTTAATCTTACGCAAATTTTAGTTTTATAGTAATGGCTGAATTAAAATTACAGTTTTTTAAATTAAACTTTCTCATACCTGCTCCCCCAACAATCTGGAGTTGGGGGAGTAAGTGACAGAAGGCTTATTAGAGGAAATTATTTTTAAGCTGAGATCTGAACGTTGAATAAGATTTATCTAGATAAATTGGGGATAAGGATGTTGAGGGTGGAAGTGGGTTATATTGCAATAATTAAAGTTTGGTCATGAATAATGTACCCAAATGTATTTTAAGTCTTAGATCTAAGAGAACTTTTTACAGTTAAAAAAAAAGAAAAGAAAAGAGAGAGAATTGAAAATAAGCCAGTAAATGGAATTCATTTTGGGGGTATTTCATGCAATTAAAAAATTTTTTTAATTAATTTTATTTATTTATTTGGCTGCATTGGGTCTTTGTTGGTGCGTGCGGGCTTTCTCTAGTTGTGGTGAGCGGGGGCTACTCTTCGTTGTGGTGTGCGGGCTTCTCATTGCAGTGACTTCTCTTGTTGCGGAGCATGGGCTCCTGGAGCATGGGCTTCAGTAGTTGTGGCTCACGGGCCCTAGAGCGCAGGCTCAGTAGTTGTGGTGCACGGGCTTAGTTGCTCTGCGGCATGTGGGATCTTCCTGGGCAGGGATCGAACCTGTGTCCCCTGTACAGGGTGCTCCGGGTCTGCTGGCGGTGGGGGGGATGGCCACTCAGGCCCTGGCAGGGCACCTGCGTTTCAGACTTCTCTGCAGCCAGGGGCCACAGCTGGGGCGGGGCCGGGTTACCTGCCCAGGGTGGGAAGGGGGTGGGGTCACACGGTATGGGCAGTACTTCATGCAATATATTAAGAGTATTCTTTTATTCTTCAAAACCTATTTCTACATATTTAGTAACTTAAGCCTTATGCATTTCACACAGTTCTGTACTCCTCCTATAGATGAGGTTTTTCCTGTTCATTCATTGCTTAGGCAGTTGTATCAGATTATTTTTAAATGCTTGCAACATAACTTAGGGTAAAATCTGTTCAATTATTGAGGATTTATTATGTGCTAGACAAAGTGTGATATGTGCTATGATAGGTGAAGGAAGAGGTGCTGTGAGAACCCATAAGCAAAGGTACCGAATATTATCTGGGATGAGGGGCTAGGTAAGAGAAGGCTTAATAGAGGTAAAGACCTGGAAGGTGAATAAAATTTATTCAGATAATGTAGGAATGAGTATGTTGGGATGGGAGGAGAGCATGGAGGGTTTATTCCAGATAGAGAGTAACGTATTTAAATATGTGTATTAAAGAAGAAGCTCTGAATAATGATAGCTGTAGTAAAAGCTATCAATTATTGAATGGTGATCATTATTGTGTCACTGTTCAAAGTACTTTAATCTTTATAACAATCACATAATGGAGCTATTATTATTCTACTTTTATTGTCTGCTTGTAACTGTCCTTTATGGGTAAGGTAATATATAATTCTCTCCTTTTCTCCTCATTTGGGTTAAATTTTGGAGCTTTGGCATTATTTTATTTTGGTTTTAGTGAGTCAGAAGTGGTCTGTAGGCATATTTTAATAAAAAGACCAAAAATTATGGCATTTTAGCTTGGCATTAAAAAGAATAGTTTACTAAAATATGGTATATATGGATAATCCATTTATGACTGACCATTAAAATTAACTTATTATTTCAAATTTACAAGAAATGTAATAAATACTGTGAAAAAGTAGTAAGACCAATCCAGATTGTGACACATAAAAGACGAGTGGTCTGGACTCCTCAAAAAAGTCGATATGAAAAACAAAAGGATGAAAGCACTCTAGATTAAGCTACAAGGAATGAGACATAACAACCAAATGTAATGTAATGCATTCAATTTTAATGGATCCAGGATTTCAAAAAATATAAAGACATTTTTGGGGATAATTGGAAATTTTTGAATATGGACTAAATATTAGATAATATGAAATATTATTGTTAGTGTTTTTAGGTGTGACAGTGGTAATGTGGTTATGTAGGAGAAGGTTCTTATTCTTAGAAAATTCATGATGAAGTATTTAGGGTAAAATATCATGTTTGGAAAAATTATAATATAACAATTTCTGTAAAATTTTATTTTACTAGGTCATTAATGGGATTCCTGAGTATCAGACATTTATAAAATGCTTAAATCTATCTTACCTTTTTATTATCTGCTGTTTTCCCTTGTAATGTTTATCACCATCTGATTGTTGATTTATTTTTTTTGTCTATCTTCATTCCCATCCTCCACTAGAACGTCAGTTCCATGAGGACGGAGACTTTTGTTACTCACAGCTTACTTCACAGCGCTAAGGATAGTATCTGGCACATAGTAGGCAGTAATCAATATTTGTTGAGTAAACTAATGAATAAAGATAACCAATCTCAACCAACTTCACCATTTCTATATAGCTCATAACATCTTTAATGTTTTAAAATCAGTTTTGGTACTGTTAACCAGAAATAATAATAGATTGTTCCTTATGTTTCAGGGAAGTTGGGAAAAAAGAATTTTGAAGAGTTTAAATAGTATGTGCACTGAATTGAGTATCCCATTGGCACGAAAGGTACTTTTTTTTTTTTTTTTTTGATTGGAGTATAGTTGCTTTACAACGAAGTGAATCAGCTATTATGTATACATATATCCCCTCCCTCTTGGACCTCCCTCCCTCCCATCTAGGTCACCACAGAGCACGGAAAGTACTTTTAACATTTAAGTATTTTTTTGTGAATCAAGTACTACGAAGTATCATGAAATATCTGTCAGGCAGATTTATCTTTTTTTATTATTAGTATATCAGTTTGTTTTGAAACAAAAATCTGTGAAAGGCCAATTATGTGGATGTAGTTTATATAGGTTTCTATTATGTATGCTGTAGTGCTTTTTGTAATAAACCTATATCTTGAGAATAAATGTAGACTCTGCAGTATAGGTGATTTGGAGATTTGTCTTATAAATACACTTTAAAGATTTTAATTACCTTTAGTCTCCTTACTTGAATGATTTGTCATCTCTGCAGAACTATTTAGATCTAATACTCATCATTTATCTGTCACTCTGGGCTTCGAGAGGGGAGAGATGAAAAAGGAGAGAAAAGCCACTTGAGAAATATTCTGGATTCTTTATAGCTGCTCATGAGTAGGAGAGAACGTTTCTCTTCACTTCATTCTCCCAACCTGCTATTTATTTCCTGCTGTTGGACAGGATATAGTGAATGTACTTTGGATAATATCCAAGCACAAGTCACTGAAGGCACCAGAAGGATGGTGTAAAAAAAAAAAGATAAGTTTATATGAAAAACTGTCTAAATATGTAGTATTGTACAATATACTGTCTTTCATATAGGAAGATGTTGCTACTGATTCACAGTCACACTCTCTTGGCCAGTCCCCCTTGCAATGCGTTTCTCAGATTGCTGGATGGGGTAAGAGATGTAGTATGTGGCTGAGGAGCAGTTTTTCTTTGTGAAATTTTACTAGCCAGCACAGATCATTTACCTTCTATTCTTGGACTCATTAGCACCACATTGTAACTGAGCCACTGAGACTACTGTATAATGTAATAGTTAAATAATGTAATTTAAGTGTAATTCCCTAAAAAGCTAACCATATGTAATGAAATTATTTTTTCTTGTGTTATGGTAGCTTATTTAAGCTTTTAGATGAGGTATTGATTCTTATTTTTCAGCTTCATTGCTTAACTTCACAAAACAAAACCAATTTTAAAATTACCTTTTTTAGAGGCCAGTTGGAGAACAGAAAGAACTTCTCAATAAATGGAATGAAATGGGAACTGATGAGCCAGGTATATGTAAAACTCTTTTCAAAATGTGGTAGTGGGGAAAAAAAAATTGCCTTCTTAATTGTGAATCCAAAATAACAATATTAACAATTTTTTTTGGAAAGATAGCAACTTGCCCTCTCCACTAATTTACTATCATCTGATTTTTTTTGCTTAAACTTCTACTTTGCAGTTTAAAATTCCTAACTTTGATCAGTGTTCTCCATTATTTTGAGGATATTTAAATCAGTTATCTTTTTTTAAAGCAGCATTTGAAAACATTTTTATAAAAGGGTAAATTAAATCATTCAGTGGATTTCATAGACAAATCTTTTTCAAACTTTAATTACATTGAGATGTTAAAGATGGATTAAATGTGGAAAAGTTTGGGGTTTTTTTACTAGCCCTGCCAAAGCAAGGCCTCAAAAAATTTATTAAACACTCAGATTTGTTTCTCTCCATGAAAATCTTTAGTAAAAGGCAAGAGATTTATTTGATCTGAAGAGAAACCAGAGTATATGTGGAACAGTTTTAATACTTCTAAAATGTTTTTAAGAATTTAGTTTGGTTCATTTTAATGTTTAAAATTGAGTCAATCAATTTTATAAACATATAATGAGTGAGAATGCTAACATTTACTATGATAAGCATACATATATAAAATTGTTTAGGTAGACATGTACATAATTCCTCACCACTCCTTAAAAGAAAGTTGAGAGGGGTGGGTACTGGGCAAGAAATTGTGCCATAATAAAGGGAGCAGTGTGTTATAGAAGTTCAAAAGGGAGAACAGTTCAATACAACTACAGGAATTCACAAGAATGCATTGTTTGTATTCTAAGTACTTTGAGAATTCTCATATAGAATTCTCTATTCTCATATAGAACTTTCATATCATACTGGCATTGTTTTTCAATTCAACTACAAATAATCTATTACAAATTTATCACAGTGGGGACTCTTTATTTCTTCTAGAGTATGTCATCTAGGCTGTCAAGGGAAGGGACTACCTTTTTATTTTTATTGGCCCAGTACTTAACACAATGTATGACAAATAACTGATATTCTGCAAATGTTTGAATTAATCTAGCTGCATAGCAACATATGAAAGAATCATTAAAATTTATTATTAATAAGAGTTTTTATGTTATAATTGAAATTTTGTTTTAATCTGTCTTATTAATTCTAGATTTAAGCCTTTTCAGGCCTGTTTATGCACCTAAGGATTTTCTCGAGGTAGGTTCTATTGGCTAAAAATATATATATATATATATATATATATATATATATATATATAAATGAGAATTTATTTTATGTCAGACATAATGGTAGGCACGAAGATATAAAGATGGGCGAGATATAAGACTTTTTTTTTTAAAGGAAATTGTTCCCTATATATAAATGAGGTAAAAATGCAAAATAAATGATGGTATAAAAACATCTCTAGGCAGAGGAGTCACCATGTAAAAAGCCCCAGAGCCACTGAAATGGTGAAATAACATAATTATATTATATTTAGAAATTGCTCTTGGAAGATACATTGGAGTGTGGAAAAATTAGAGGGAAGTAAATCAGGAAGATTTGATTTAAAAAATAGTGACTGTAAATCATGTAGCCTGCTTCCTGGCACATGTAGGTGCTCAGTGAATTGTATCCTTTTTTATTTCCTTCCTGTTCTAGTAGTTCAGACAAGGCATGATAGAGGTCTGAACTAAGAGAACAGCATTCAAAATGGAAAGAATTCAACAGACTTGAGAGATTTTAAGGAAGATTTGGGAACTGATTAGATCTAAGGAGCATGAGAAAAAAAAAACAAAGATAACCTTTAAGTGTCTAGACTGGGTAACTGGGCAGAGGTAACTTGTCCTTGAGATAGAGAATACAGGAGGAGAAACAGGTCCATTAGTGAAGATGATGAGCTTAATGAAGTTTGAGAGGCATATTGAGCATTCAAGTGGAACTCTTCAGTAGGCAGTTACAACTCACTAATTATTTTAATTCACCTCTCTTGGATTACACTTTTTTCCTTGTACCTTACATGTAATCCATCAGCAAATCCTTTCAGCTTTACCTTTGAAGTATATCCAGAATCCATCCACTTACTAGGATCATTCCTATTTCACTGGTCCAAGCAGCCATCTCTTGTCTGGACTATTTCAGTAGCCTCTTAATTGCTCTTTCTGCTTCTAAGCTGCCCACCTAGAATCTGTCCTTTTGTTCTTAGCAGAGTTTCTAGAGGAAGACTTGTAAGTACAATTCTGAAGAAGCCACTCTTCTGGTATCCAGGTGCTTCCTATCTCCTTCTACTTAAAAACCAAAGTCATGACAGTGGCCTAAAATATCCTGCTTGGTCTGTTACCCCACCACTTCTCTGAGTTCATCTCCTATTACCTTTTCTCCTGATTTGTTCTACTCCAGCTATTTTAGCCTCCTTGCTTTACCTGGGCTTCCGCCCATTTGTGAGGGCCTTTTGCTCCTTTTTTTCTCTGCCTGCAGTGCTTTTCCCCCAGATACTTGTGTGTACATTCCCCTCACTCCTTATGTCTCTGCTTAAATGTCACATTCTCAACATTAAAGAATATGGTCAATAATATTGGGTATTATATGGGTATAATATGGGTACAGATGGTTACTAGAGTTATTGTGGTGATCATTTCACAATGTATGCAAATGTCGAATCACTTTGTAGTACACCTGAAACATAATATTGTATGTCAACTATATTTCAATTATTTTTTATTTCAATTAAAAAAATATTCATGGAAAAAATTCAAACACATACACACACACAAAAATGTTGCCTTCTCAGCAAACTTTTCCCTGGCTCCCCTGGGTGGAACTCCTTATAGCCCTTTTCTACTTTGTTTTTCTCCATAGCATTTAGCATCATATAACATACTATTTTTCTATTTGGCTTATTGCCTGCCTTATCCTATTAGACGGAAGTTTTGTTCACTGCTGCAACAATTACAGAGTCAAGTCAGATAATTGAAAAGGCTCAACAAGACTTCACCCACAAGGATACACCCACATAAGGCTTTCTTTCAGCAAGAGAAAGAAAATACATGCAAATACAAAGAGATGGGAGTTTCCAGACACATCTCCCAGGCCCCTTTCTCAGTTGCACAGGATGCACTTTGTCTTTGGGTTATGAATCTCCAAGGTACATGCAAGATACTTCGGTCTTGGGAGTCAAGGCACAAGTTTTCTGAGGGGTCTTTTTTTTTTTTTTTTTTTTTGCAGTACGTGGGCCTCTCACTGTTGTGGCCTCTCCCGTTGCGGAGCATAGGCTCCGGACGCGCAGGCCCAGCGGCCATGGCTCACGGGCCCAGCCGCTCCGCGGCACATGGGATCTTCCCAGACCGGGGCACAAACCCGTGTCCCCTGCATCGGCAGGCGGACTCTCAACCACTGCGCCACCAGGGAAGCCCTGAGGGGTCTTTTATACCCCACTGGTAATTAAGATGTAAACCAGCAATCTGTACATTTTCAATAAACAATGTAAATAAACTGATATGGAGTTCCTCCAGGGGGCATTAAATAGCACATTATAAATGACTAGTTAGTGCATTTTACCCCATCTTGGCCAAGGGTTGCTACTAGATGTCCAGGTAACCCTGAAGATAAGATAGAGCTACCATAAACCAGCTGCAGCTGCAAGCTGATCCTATCTTTAACTTTTCTCTCTCCAACAGGTAGAACAGTGCTTAGCACATCATGGCTCAGTAAACGTGTTGAGTGAATGAGTAAACGAATGATTGCATCTTTCACATTTTATTTATTTTTTCTTTTCTGAACCTGTTGTCTCTGATACCAGTTTGCCAGCATAGAACATTGTTAGAAATTATTTCAGGCCTTTTAGAATTGTAAGCAGTATCTTTTTAACTTTAAAGAAAAATTACTTTGGTTTGAAACTGCCTTTATGGTGCTAGCATTATTTCTCTTAGCTTATTAAAGACTTCTCCCAAACTCTTTCCTTTTCTAGCACTTAAATTTCATGTAATTTTTTTATGGTTGTCTTTAACTGTTTTCTCCTTAATAATCATAGTGTTCTGTGGCCTTCAGGACTGTTGCTGAATTGATCCTTTTATTAGTCATGCTGAGATTCTTCTTTAACTCAAGCAAATTTTCTATAATCATTTTCTTAGTTACAGTTTCTGCTTTTCTAATATTTTCTCTTTTCTATTGCCCACATATTCATAGTTTCTTTTTCTTTTCAATTCTGTGTTTTTGAGTTTCCCATGCAAGTATGATGCCTTATTTGTGTAATTAGACTAAAAGTGTGTTATTCTATATTAGTCTGTATTTAACACTGTTGATTCTTTGCTAAATCTTCTTTTTCCTTTTTTTTAAACAAATACCTTTGATATTTTTAGTTTCAATTTAGTGTTTGCAATTTTAGGAAACTCTTTTGGCCTTATAGCATATTCCATTTTATCAGCCATTAGTTATCAGTTTATGAATGCCTTCTTCAGATATGATAGTGTTTCTGTCATTATAATCTCCTTCCTTGGATTCTTGGTGGTTTCTTTCCCTCAACAGTTTCAATTTTTAAATATTTTTGAAATTATTATTATTCTCTCCCCAAAATGTGTGTTGTTAGAAAAATAAGAAAATATATGTAAGAAGAAAATTTAAAACAGAAATTACTCATAATGCCATCATACAGCAATAAATACTACTATACTATAACTTTTTAATTTAATAAACATATTGTGATATTAATTGAGGCATATTGCACTGTATTTTGTACTAATTAAACATAATTTATTTAGGTAACTTCCTCTAATGGAATATTTAAGTTGTCTCATGTTTTTCTGTTTTATAAGAGAACAGTACTTCCTTGATGTTTTTTTCTGCACTGTCTCTGCAAACAGCTTTAATTATTTCCATAATCATACTGATAGAAGTGAGATTCCTAGAGTAAAGGCTGTGCAAATATCTAAGTTTTTTTCAATCTAGTTAATTTTGAAAAATATATAAATCCGTCTTTCTTGTTTGCTTGGCCTCTGAAAAATTTTTTTGCCCTTTTGGTTTGGTTTATCGGCAAAACCTTATGATGTTATTCACTGTCTTTCTATAAACCTTGTCAGTATCTGTTTTTTAAAAGAGTTAGAGTTGGTTCTAAAATTTTTCCCGGCAAATATTACAATCAAGCAATTTAAATTTTTCTGTCATTTTCCCTGGTAAAATATTATAATCAAACAATTCTTTTCACCATCAGAAAGTTTTTCTTTCTAACTAAATTTTTAATTTTTTAGTTTTATATGGTAGATCATCTGTTAGAATATTAAATTAAAAACATATTTATAGTATTTTAACATTTTAATACAATTTTATAGTTTTCAGAATGTAATTAAAGTATATGCATAACCCAGATAGTTATTAATCTTGTGATATATACTAAGGTTATTACTACCAATTTTATAAGTGTAAATAGTCAATAAAGAAACTAACCAATTATGTTGGATTTGTTTTTAAAGGTTTTAATTAATCTTCGCAACCCAAATTATGAAAATGGTGATTCTCATAGTTTCAGGACTCATTTGGGTTTAATCCAAGTTCCTCTCAAAGTAAAAGACATCCCTGAATTGGTAAGTATAGGCATTTAAAAATAAATTAACATATTTTAGAGGGCAACTATTAGAAATATATTTTAGTGCAGCATATATCTAAAGCAGTAGGACAATCTGCTCATTAAATAAATGAAAAAAATGAAAAGTTTCTTTTTTATTGTATGTTGTATAGAGAGTGAGTTGCTTTGCTAGTAGGAATAAAGATGAGCTTTCCTTGACCTATAAATGCTTTTGCTTATTTCTTATTTTAATAAACAGCATAGATTTATAAGACAGCTTGTTGGAATTTGGGTGCCTGATGTATGGCTGTAAAACTGATTGAAACAAATTATGAATTTTATAAAAAATTTTTTTAAAGAATGTACATTTCATTTAATTCACCCATCCTTTATTAAGCTCATGACATGGTGAGACACTGAGGGAGATAAAAGAACATAAGATGAGTTAAAGGCTGTCTTTGCTCTGGAGACTGTCACAATTTGATAAGGTCGTTAGTTTAAAAATAGAGTAATTATAGAAAGGTGGGAAGATTTCCTGATAAAGGAGTTAAGAAATTACCATCACTCCTTCTTTTGTTAATTACCCCAAAATGATAAGGAGCGCAGAAATGTAAATACTGTCTTTGGTGAAAGTAAGAAACAACTTGTAACTCTAAGCTTTAAAGTATTAAGATAGAGAGCTGATGGGAGAATGAAGAATGACGCAAACATGAAGATGGTCAAGCCTTAATGCCTCTAAAAGGTGGGAGGTATGGATGACAAGTGTGACAGTAATCAATGTATTATCTTTCAGCTCCAAATCTACCTTTTTTAAAAATTGGAGTATAGTTGACTTACAATATTGTATTAGTTTCAGGGGTACAGCAAAGTGACTCAGTTATACACACACATATATTCTTTTTCAGATTTTTTTCCATTATAGGTTATTACAAGATATTGAATATAGTTCCCTGTGCTATAGGGTAAATCCTTGTTGTTTGTCTATTTTATATATAGTAGTGTATATCTGTTAATCCCATACTCCTAATTTATCCCCCTTTGGTAACCATAAGTTTGTTTTCTATGTCTGTGAATCTGTTTCTGTTTTGTAAATAAATTCATTTGTATTATTTTTTTAGATCCCACGTATAAGTGATATCATATAATATTTGTCTTTGTCTGGCTTACTTCACTTAGTATGATAATCTCTAGATCCATCTATATTGCTGCAAATGGTAATATTTCATTCTTTTTTATGGTAAGCAATATTCCATTTTATATCTCTTATAAATAGTGCTGCTATGAACATTGGTATGCAAATATATTTTTGAATTAGAGTTTTTGTCTTTTCCTGATACATGCCCAGGAGTGGGATTGCTAGATCATATGGTAACTCTATTCTTAGTTTTTTAAGGAACCTCCATACTGTTTTCCACAATAGGTGTACCAATTTACATTCCCACCAACAGTGTAGGAGGGTTCCCTTTTCTCCACACCCTCTCCAGCATTTATTATTTATAGACTTTTTGATGATGACCATTCTGACCAGTGTGAAGTGATACTTCATTGTAGTTTTGCAAATCTGCCTTTTTTGCTCTGTTTTATTATACTGGAGCTGGACCTTATAAACATTTCTTTTTTGCAAACTAGCTTGATGTTAGGCTTTGTCAGTAGAGGATTCTGGAGGGACATTGCAAGACAATAGCAGGAGAAAGGGGCTTTCCATGTACAGAAGCCAGCAGATCAGCAAACAGAAGACCCAGTAGCACTCACCTTGGCAGCCCTCAGTCAACCAGCTCCAGCCTGTACTCTCTGGCAAGGTTTTTCTTCACCTCTGGTCTGCACATTCCTGTGGCAGGCATACCCTCTCCTTAAAAGTCTGAATCTCAGTCTTGAGGGCACTGGGGGACCCTTTCCTGAATTCTTAGTTCCTTCTTGGTTCACCCTCCTGCTTAGAAGTCATAGTTCCTTTCTGCATTTGCTAATTCTGTTTTTCCCTGTTCACATTTCTGGTATGGTTTCTATTTCTTGATGGGACTCTGACTGATACAAAAAGCCAGATGAGTTTTCTCCCTTGAACTTTGGAAAGGATCAAGAATTGAAGATACCACATGTTATAGAGTCTCTGAGGAGACATAGGGCTGAAAGTGGAGATTGTGTAAAAGTCTGTATCAGGAGGGGTTAAGACCCCCAGACTCTTCTCATCCTGCATATTCCGGTGACTCCTCCTCCCTCACAGAAGACCAGAGGTGTGTTAATCACTACAGAAACAGAATCAGAAAGGCTGTAAACTCAGTGACCTCAGACATAGAGCTGAACAGGAATGAGGCATGGTATTGAAAACAGAGGAATTAAGTGAAAGTTGACCGAATAGTGAACTAATACCCTTGTCCCCTACCACCACCACTGTGCCTGCCCAGTCTCTCCTTCTTCACCCTCCACCAACTTTAGAATGCCAGAGAAAAGGCTAACAGAGATTTGGAGAACCCTTACCGGGGGCGGGGAAAAAAAGAAAAGAAAAATAGCTGGCTGGCTATAATTGCCCAGTTCTTACAGACAGAGCTTGCAGTCAGTCGTTAATTGCCTCAACCCTAAATGTAACTGACCAGCCTAGGATCTCCAGATACTTGAAATCTTCCAATTTTAAAGGCATAGGTCAAAACTAAAACAAATAAACAAACAAAAAAAGAAGAAGAAGAAATAGCCAATTTAGGGAATGAGTGCTTATTATGACCACCAATAGTTGTTTCAGGCTTGAATTTACATCTACACTCACAGGATACAATAGGCCAAAACCTGGTGCGAGGTTCATTTAGATTTGCAAAATGATACAGGACAGAAAACATGGCATGTCAGTATATCACGTAGATCTTCATTGGAAGTCCTTGCAGCCAACCAGATGCTACTTCCTAGCCCCACAAGGAATGCATGCAATTTGAACTGCCAAGGCTACATAGGCACAGCATAGGAAAGTCTCATATGCAATAGGAACTATTTCTTATAATGCACATGACCATAGCTACCAAGTCCTCTCAAGAGGCACACCAGGTAGCTAAGGCCTGTGTTTTCCATTAGATTTTTATAGTCCACTTACAGTCCTCCATTTCAGATATAATTTACCAGTCAAGGGTCACATTTTTTCAGTAAATTATATTGCTTAGTAATATAGCTGGCTTTCCTCTCCACAGTTTTCTTGTGTGATCCAGTACATTTTCAGGTCAACAGTGCTGGGAGAAGGTAAACCCAAGGTTATCTTCACATGGACAAAAAGGTTAGCCTGTTATTAACCATTTCCCCCCAATAGAAGATGTAAAGCAAACATTAATATTCTCAGAAAGAAGATATTACTCATTAAACAAGAATAGAATTTCATTAAAACAACAAAACAAAACATTAGAAAATGAAAAAAGAGCTTATAGGACTCAAAAATATGGTATGCCAAAAAATAAATAAATAAATCAGTAGAAAGCCCAGGAAATGTCTATCAGAAAACAGAGCAAAAGCAAAAAAGCCAAAGAGATGAAAAATAAAAAGGAAAAGGTATTTTTTTTAAATTAGAGGATCAATCCAGAAGGGCTAACACCTGACCAATAGGAGTTCTAGAAAGAGAAAACAGAGGTAAAGGAATTATTAAAAATTTTAAGAACGGAAAAGGCCCACCCAGTACCCAAAGCTGTGAATGAAAGAAGACCCAAGGCACCTGAATAGGAGAAGACTAAAAACTTTTTATGGCAGAAAAACAGAGTATATATAAAGTTTCAAGCATCTGACCGCCCCGCAGGAAGACTGGAAGCCAGAAGATTTTTAAGTAAAACCTTTAAAAATCTGAATGAATTCAAGCCTAGAATTCTGTATGTAACCAACAGTCAATCAAATGACAATTTGAAGTAGACATTTTCAGATGTCTGTGATTTCAAATATTTACTTTTATTAAGGGAGCTATTGGCAGAAATGCTCCAAAACAAGATCAAAAACAAAAAGAGCAAAACAGAGGATCCAGGGAATGGGATTCCAACCTAAGAGAAGAACAATTTCCAAAATGACAGTGAAGAGAGGTTCCAGGACAAAGTTTGTGCAACAGGACCAGAGCAGAGCGATTCCAGTTTGGAGCCGGAGGTTGGAGGGTTCCAGGATGAGTGCCTGCAAGAAAAACACCAAAAGTAAAGATGATCTGACAGGTTTAACCACGTGCAAAATTGTATTGTGGAGGGTCTTTTCAGAGTTGTTAAAGGGTAGAGGAAGAGGTAAGTGATTACAGAAAATTGCATAAGTGAAAAAATGGTTTAGGTATGGACTGTATGAAAAAAATACATATTTTAGGAAAGGAAACATATTTATAGCATACTCCTTGCCTCAGCAGTGAATAATTTTTAAATAGTAGTAATAATGTAAACTCTTAATATGGATTTAATCAAGAATTGATATATACTTATAATGGAATGATGGAGGGAGGAAAAGAGAATGTACATGAGCTAAAAATCCTCATTTATCATAAAAAATCAGTAGATATTTGAAACTGATAAATTAAAAATAACAATATATACTTGTTACTTGAAATATGGGTGTAAATACCAGAAAAAGAAGCTGAAATTGGGCTTCCCTGGTGGCGCAGTGGTTGAGAGTCCACCTGCCGATGCAGGGGACACGGGTTCGTGCCCTGGTCCAGGAAGATCCCACATGCCGCAGAGCAGCTGGGCCCGTGAGCCATGGCCGCTGAGCCTGTGCGTCCGGAGCCTGTGTTCTGCAATGGGAGAGGCCACAACAGTGAGAGGCCCGCGTACCACAAAAAAAAAAAAAAAAAAAAAGCTGAAAGTGGTTGTTCCTGAATAGTGGGCTAATTATGATTGCGTGTGTGTGTGTGTGTGTGTGTGTGTGTTGGGGAGGAGTGCATAAATAGGGAACTGCTGTTTTGCTGTTGTTGTTAAGTCTTTTAGCTGATTTGACTTCTGTTTATTGCCTGTAAAGATAGTATAGTGTGGTGGTTAGGTGATTAGATTCTGAAGCCAACTAACCTGGGTTTAAATTCTTGCTCTGCCACTC